GCTTTCAATCATTTTTTCGGTGCAAGGATAAGTAAAATAATTGCATTTTTGACTTCACAGCGTCCATATCTCTCAAGGTAGATAGAATACGCGGGTAATTGTAAGGAAATATATCTCACTGTTGATTGGTCACATTACCATTCGAAAAAACATTTCGAAAGGATTATTGGTCTCGGGTTAGCAGGTTCTTGTGGAGAGGAAGGGAATACGACTCCCTAAAAACGCCTCCGTGCATTGGAGGCTAACTTCAGGAAGATCAACTGATCTCAGCGTGCAATGGCAATGATAAGGTTGAAGGCCTGATAATGGTATGTAAGCCAGTCCGCCTTACGTATCCGTAGCGAAACTTGAAAAGAGTAAAAGCAAAAATAAGCGACGTGGTAAAATGTTTAAAGCTAAGGAAAGTCGCTTAGCATACCCATTGGTGAACCAACATGACGGTACGATAGAAAGACCTCCCTGATGGCGCAACCAAACCAAACTTTGCCAGAAAATATCAAGAAAACAACGTAATTTGACTTGTTGCAGTTTTCTTGTAGACAGGAAATTATTATCTAATATAATTTGCAACAAAATCCTAAAAATACACTTGATGAGATCCCCGGAAACACTTTCAATTAAACTAAAATATAGTACTTACTAAGTAAACAACTGATAAATAGGAAAACGATCATCCCTCTAAGGGAGAATGCATAGTGCCAGACTAAATATACCTCGACGCCTCTCGTCACCCACCGTCCCTTTTCGGGATATAGCTGCTGTATATACCTCTTATTAGCCTCGTTTTCGGTCCGTACTGTAAATTACGGACCCAGTTTTTTCCATCGATTTATGGCCCAAACGCGAAGCGCGCGGGCCATAAATCGATCGAAAAAATCTAGGATCCGTAATTTACAGTACGGACCGAAAAAACGAGGCTAATAAGATGTTATTATATGGCTTCTTCCAGTTTGGGGAACCGCAAACAAGTGCAGGACTCGCGATTTGACAATCATTTGACAGGCGTCAAGAAAGAATGTTTTTATTGGCTCACAAAAACAATAGCACACAACAAGGGGTTTCCGAGAAAGTGAAAAAAAATTCGCCATGTTGAAAAAGTTTATTTGGTCACAACTAAGAGCGCTGCAAGTTTTAGCTCTTTAATGTAACGCTGGAGTATTTTGGAAAATCGGGCACTGTGTCCTTCTCGAAGTCGTTTCCATCTTTCCTCCGTTGGTCCTTGTGAAAAAAAAAACACTGCAAAAGGCAAAGAAGCTTTTCAAGGTAAGTTTGTTGTCATTGTCGAAGGATTTGCTCGTTAATGTTTCGGGGGAAAACCTCTTGAATTTCTGCCAGTTCATTCTCGTCTTCAAGTGTGATCTGCGTTAAAATTTTCAAACACTGACCATATTCTCTTCCACGGAAAGGTTACGATTCAGTTTCTACATTAGCTTCGTTCTCATTCAAACCAAGCTAGGGTAAAAATCAGGAAAGGCAAAGTCAACATCCCAATTCTCAGGGTTTACAGACGTATTTTTAAGTATATTCGGTCAAAACTAAGAGCACTGTAAGTATTCACTCGCCAATGTGACGCTGGAGTCTTTTGAAAACTGGACATTGTGTCTGGCTCGAAGTCGCTTCTATCTTTCTTTCGATGGTCTTTCGAAAAACACTGCAAATGGCAAAGAAGCTCGTTAAGATGATCGGGTGCAGGCATGTTTGTTATCATATTTGTCGAAGGAATTACTCATTTTCTCTTAGGCAAAACATCTCGAACCTCTGCCAGTCGATTTTCGTCTTCTTAACTGTGTAGTACGATAAAATTTTCAAACACTGACTAGAATCATCTTCGATAAGATTACGAGTTAGTTTCTTCATCGCCTTCGTACACAAGTAAATACAATTTAAAATGTTGAAGGACAAAGTCAAAATCTAAATCCTCAAGGTTGATAGACGTCTTGTAACATTATTTCAACCTTTTTTTCCGAGGTAAAGAGATTTAGAGCTCCGAAATGAGCATTTTCTTTGAAATTTTGGTCCGTATAGCAAGTTACGGACCGAAAATTGACCAATCGCATGGCGAAAACAGACTCAGCCATATAATAAACTATCATATCCTCAAATACTAACACTGAATAAACAACAACACAAAATATTTGGTTATCTTACAACTTTTTCATAAAAGAAAGATTTGTGAATATTCCTGGCGGGAGCTTCTCGATCTTGCTTGACGATAAATCCCTGCAGCAAAATTAAGGTAAAGAGGGTCAAACACGTCGTGCAAAAACCTGCTACATAAATATTAGCGAAATCCGCTTACCAATAGAAAAACTATCTCACAAGAACAAATTATCGAGCTAGCAAAATAAAACAAATCTAGATGTTTTCTTTTCTGGCTGTCTTACAAATTCGAGTTATTTTAGGAGATTAAATAGAAGAAATAGTTGTACGTCAGTGAGGACAAACCAATAACGACGATAACAATAATGATACCCATTTTTATTAAATTATTTTAAGGTTTAAATGTAAAGCTTTATATAGTACAAAAAAAATAGAATTTATCTTTACCGGTAAATAATAGTAATAATAATGACGATGATGAAGATGATAATTTGAAATAAAGATATGCACTGGTAATTCAATTTAAAGTGGCCAGAACCTATTTATATGCGCGTTGGTTATGTTTTTGAATCGGGTTTTACGGCAGGAATGATTTAACTGATTTCTATGATTTTTGGCATCCTTAGTAAAGAATGGTCGAACTTTAAGAAAATGTTATTTATTTTCTTGTAGGTATAAAAACGTTTGAGATATCGGCATATGTTTAAAAACGCATTTTTACAAAAAATGTCAATAATTTCGAAACCCTAAGACAGATTTTTCTCTAACTTCGGCAAATAAGCCTCAGAGCTGTCTAGTTTTATGTCTGCAAGTTTGAAGACGATCGTGACCGTAGAACTCGCTGAATAGCTGGTCAAATTTAACCTTAAAATGCAACGCTAACACATTTGTGAAAGTTGACGCTCCAATAGAGGGAAACCGCCGGCGGACTATCTCCTATCTGCAAGGGTATTCATACGGAAAGCTTCAGTTGCAAGATACTGAGTAATCAGAAACGTACGGCGAATACAGTTCGCAATACAAGAAGAACAACTTTATGCTGAATGCGGGCATGATAAAAGAATTTCTATTTATCAAACTTACTTTGTATTTGTCCCTCTCTTTTCGAAACCTATCTTAACAAGGCTATTATATTATCAATGAAAAACTCTCAAGAGTTTTTAGCGTCGTAGGTTTCCGTTTTCAGGAGAAATAAAGCCACCAACTCCAGTACTTCTAACCGTCCATTTCTCACCTGCACTGAAAGCCCTTTTTCTTGGTAATTTATTCAAGGTTTTTAGACTTAACATCACATTCGCACGGGAAGTTTGCCACTTGGGGATAAAGATGAAGAAAATATGACAATCGTAATGATGTCGTCTTATTCTTTTCATCATCCCCAATGGTAAATGCCCGTGCGAATGTGATGGCAAATCTTTCAAACGTGACTAAATTACCTAATACAAGGGTTGTCGATGCAGCTGAAAATGGATCGGTTAAAGTACTGGAGTTGGTGGCTTTATTTCTCCTCAAGACGGGAACCTTCAGTGCTAAAAACTGGTAGGAGATTTCCGTAGATGTTATACCGTGCTTTGTTGTGATTTTTTGCGAAAAGAGAAGGGAAAATACAAAGTAACTTTGACAAAAAGAAGTTATTTAATCTTGCCCCGCATTCAGCGTAAAGTTGTTTTTCTTGTATTGCGAACTGTATTCGCCGTATGTTTCTGATTACTCAATTTCTTGCAACTGAAGCTATGGGCAAGAATACCCTTGCAGAAAGGAGATAGTCCGTCAGCAGTTGTCCTCTATTTGTGTGTAAACTTTCACAAATGCGTTAGCGTTGCATTTTAAGGTTAAATTTGACCAGTTATTTGTGCAGCGAGTTCTGCGGTCGCAATTGACTTCAAACTTACAGATATGAAACTAGAGAGCTCTGAGGCTTACTTGCCGAAGTAAGAGAAAAATCTGTCTTAGGGTTTCGAAATTATTGACATTTCTTGTAAAAATGCGGTTTTAAGCATATGCCGATATCTCAAATGTTTTTATACCTACAGGAAAATAAAGTTCGACCATTCTTTATTAAGGATGCCAAAAATCATAGACAAGCGAATATTAACGTTAAAAGCCGACGTTTCGGTATCATCCTGACACCATTCTCAAGGCAAAATGAATAAATATTATTCGCTTGCTTATGTTTTAAGAAATCGTTTTTGATAAAAAATCATAGAAATCGGTTAGATCATTCCTGCCGAAAAACCCGTTTCAAAAACATAACCAACGAGCAAATTAATAGGTTACGATTTGTATTTGATTGTCTTCAGGATAACGTCTGTACCCCTTTTAAAGGATATTTTACAAAAATTGAACACAACATCAACACTCGAAACAATGGGTGTTCACTAAAACTTCCCAAAACTTCGCAAAGCAAAATTAGAATTTGGACGGAGAAGTTTTGCTTTTCAAGGGGCTCCAGTTTACAATACTTTACCTCGGCATTTAAGAAATTTAAATTCTAGGTTTCTTTTTAAGGGTAATTTTAAAGAGTTTTTTCAATAGTATTCCATAATTCGCAACTCTTTTCAGTCTTATAAGTCAATAATTTTTACAGATTTTGTTTTTGAATGTTAGATTTCTTAGTGTTATTTTATTTTATTTTCCTCTTTCGATTTTCTTCTTTATTTTTTAAGCTATTTATGAGATAATTACAGGACCCTTTTGATAACAGTTCTTTTTATTAGAACTGATAGGTTATCCTGTATAAATATTCGCGTTTTATTATTACTATTATTATTGTTATTATTATTGTCTCTATTATCACAGTCTTTGCTGGTGTTCTTTTTGTGCATCAGCCGGGCGCAAACCATGCACCTAAAGCGTCAGTCAATGAAGTCAATCATTCTGTTCATACACTGAGCACCTTTCTAAGGATTCGTGCAGATCCCAGCATGCAGATCTTTTGAATCTCTGTCATAGTAGCTCTCTCTAATACTTTCTTGATTTTTTTCTACCATACCCTTCTCCACTGTACCAAGCGCACCAACAACCACAGGGATCACTACGGTTTTCATATGCCACATTCTCTGTATTTCTAGTTCTAGGTCTTTGTACTTGCATTTTTTTTCAGTTTCCTTCAGTGCGATGTTTCCATCTGATGGAACAGTCATATCAATACACGAGGAGCCGCAAGGGGTGATATTTTTGCACGGCATCTGGCGGCACATCAAAGAATTTGGAATTGAAGGGCAAATTCCTAGAATATCTTCGCCAGTTAAGCTAGAGAAAAGGTGTTAAAAAACCTCAGGATCCAAAACAACATGTCAATCAAAATATCACTTGGACCTTTTCGCTAATGAAGAGCTATCACGCGGCTAAGCTTGAATTAGACATATATTGAAATAGGAACTTGTGTCAATAAAGTATCAGAAGTGAGTGGGAATCGCTCCTGGTTAAAAAACTGGTTCACAGGGATTTGCATCTCTTCTAGTTAAGAGAAGGGAATCAGAACTGCTTTTCATGCAGGAACAGGTTTTCTTCGGGCTAACTACAAGACTTCAGCTTATTTCACTCTTGACATTGTCAAAGCGCATTTTGTAAAGATAACTTTTCCCGCTTTATCAGCTTTTTTTATATTCTATTCCATTAATATTTAACCTCCCTCAAAAAGCCAAATAATATAAATGCTGTTGTTAAAAAGAAGCGTTTAACCTGTTTTCGTGAATTCGCTATCCAAAGATCACTGTGCTCAAAGGACAGGGCAAAATTTCTAGGAGAGAGGTATTAATTTTTTTTCCCACGAGGTTACAAAGAGAAAATGCAATGATTATTATTAATGTAACCATCAGGTATACGCTACCCACGAGTTTACGGACAGCAAATGCAGTGATTATTATTAATGTAACCATCAGGTATGTTCTACCCACGAGGTTACAGAGAGCAAATGCAGTGATTATTATTAAAAGTAACCGTCAGGTATACTCTACCCACGAGGTTACGGAGAGCAAATGTAATGATTAGTATTAAGGTAACCTTCAGGTATGCTCTACCCACGAGGTTACAGAGAGAAAATGCAATGATTATTATTAATGTAACCATCGGGTATGTTCTACCCACGAGGTTACAAAGAGAAAATGCAATGATTATTATTAACGTAACCTTCAGGTATGTTCTACCCACGAGGTTACAGAGAGCATGCAAATGCAGTAACAATTATTAGATTTTAGTGCAACTATCAGGTTGAGTTCCTCCATTAAAAGAGGTTTTTGCTAGGGTTAAACAAGTTTGGCTTTCATGAGTTTCAAGGTGCAAGAAATTGTCAGTATAATTATAGCACACAAACATTGTCATCTAATTTTTCGCACGTAGCCGGAATAACTCAAGAAATGAAGCATATATAACGAAAAATCGTCCTCAGATGATCTCCATTTTAAGTAAATTATTCTAAACGTTGCGAAAGCTGAAAGAAATTATTGTTTGTATCCGTCATATCCATCGTAAAAGCGAGGGGTCATCGCATGACATCCGGTATATTAAACAGAGGTAATACTCACGGGTTTCACGAGTTATGTGCACTATTTTTCGCCGAGAAACAAATTTAAACTTCAATTCTTACCTTACAGTAGTCCGTTCTTTTACCTTGCATTCGACAACAAGTCTGTTAAAGGCGAACAAAGCGATTCCGGCACTCTTCTTTATGATGAGTAGCAAGCCGCAGGAACTGAAGCCGCTTGACTGAAGTAAAATCCACCGATATGCACGGAATTTTTTTTCTCACTACAAATATAAACAAACGTCGCGAGGAAAAAACGACGAGGAGGAAAAAATGCCAGATCTTCGCCTCGGCAATGTATTTCAGCTACCATGCCGGCGTATCTCCAGAAGGTGGACCCGAAGTGGGACAAACCTTGTGATTTTTTTTAGAAGCCCTTTGCGCGCAAACTAATTTATTCTGGCGCGAAATGAAGATTAACAATAATTATGTATACTGAAATCTAATCCACGACAAGAAGATTTTCGCACTGTAGCGCGACATATTAAATGCCTATTTTTACAAGTACGCGGAGAAAGTGGTCGACTAGTTTAACTTTTTTAAGATGAATTTACTCCACAAAAGCAAAACGAAATGTTTTATCTCTATGTTGTTTACGTGCATGATTAGAAGGGAGAGGTAAATTCATCATACAGACCCCATCAAAATGAAAGTACACGAATGAAACGGAATAAGTCTGGGACGGTTTAGTTTCTACTCAGCAGCTTCTTTGCTTCTATAACAAAAATTTAATGTTGCAGTCTGTTTTAAACGTTGGCATATCAACGCACACAGTCACTGAATGAAAACAACAGTCGCGATCACGTTCTTCGAAACCGACCAGACGCGCGCGACCTACCACTGTTATGGTAAGCAATTATCCTGAAGGTGTTAATGTTCCCGTGACAGTCTTCGCACTGAAGGTGTAAATGGTAAACCGAACGGTCGCTTTGATCATCAGAAAGACCTGTCAACTTTGATGATTTAACTGATTAAATTACGGGACAGAAATTTTACTGCATGCGGCTCCTCGTGGTTTGCAGGTGGAATTCACTGAATCTTTAACGATAATATCTGGTCTGTTCGCTGTTATAGTTCTATCAGCATTGACTGGCATGTCCCACATGATGGTGATGTTGTTATCTTTATTGTGTGTCACGG